CAGCTGGTCCAGGACTTCATTGTGAAGAAGAGCAATCTAAAATTTGGTGTTCCTTTTCTGCACAAGGAACAGTGTTCTGTCTGCGGAGGATACAAAATCAGTGTAAGGATGAACCTTGGATGACTGTAATCTAAAAGTGAAAAACTAATACTACATTAATATATATGGCCTCCTCTTTTCAGTCTACTGGCCAAATCCATTGCTCCTACAAGAGGAAGTATCTGTTCTTCAGCCAGCGAATTTTGTCACATAATGGTAATTTTTCTTAATTTATTTACAATAGGTAGAAACATTTAATGAAGTTAATTGTAACACTAATGAGACAGCCTTATTTCTGAAGAACAAAAGCTTTATAAATGTCTAATTAATAACTGATTTGGTGTTTGTACTTAAGGAAACAAAAAATAGTCATTGAAGCTTCCTAGTGGAATTACCTTTTGATGTTTTCTACTAGAAGCAGAAAAATGACCAGTACAAATTCAGTGTAATATAATTTTCGAAAAGGAAAATATTCACTGTTGGGGAATGTGGAAGTTTTTCTTGAAATATATTACTATATTCAGTTACATAGATTTAGATTTCCTTTCATCATGATTTCACCTGATTTCATCATGATTTCATCAGTTGTTGGCATCTGCCTCAAAGGAGTTTTGTCCCCTCAATATATTTAATTTCAAATGCATTAAAAAGAAAGATTAGATTCAAATTTTTCACTTGCCAAGTCATTTTACAGAACTCCTTGGCAAAGACAATCTCATTGTTAATTTTTGGAAAAGAACTGGAGATTAGTTGGGGGTTTTAACAGGCTCGCTTCCTAATTATTTGCCTATCCTCTGAAAACAGCCCATATAATTTGGTGTCATCGAAGATATGCTTGCGAGCATTTTATATGCTGATACCATGAGTTCTGATATTCTTGATATGGCAAAGATACAACTTTCTCTCCTATCATACTGCAACACACTGTGTGTGGTTAGATCAGGCTGTGTAAAATATAACTGTCTGGAGTAATGTTTTCCCAGGTATTCTGATCCTGGAGTAGGGTTGACAAAGGCATGACACTACTGCAAAATTGTGCTCAAGCAAAGTATCTTCCGTAAGTAAAGGTAGCCTTACTTCTTCATTACGTGAGAATGTAAATCTTTCTGTGACTCATCTAACAGGATTCAAACTCCAAATAATGCTACCCATAATTCACTGAAGTTAGAAAAATATGAGAAACCATATTAGTAGAGATTGATAAAGAAACACTAATGCTCCAAAGTTAGCTAATATCATACTTCACTGGAACACAAATTATTAATTACATGGTTTTTAGCATCACTGTGGGCCAGATGTCTTTTTCAGATCTCTGCTGTGGTGGGAGACCACAGGGAGCTCATGAGAAAAATGGAACAAACTTTAGTTAGTTAGATAATATACTCTATCTGAGTATATTATCAATCTTATATCTGCCCTCTATTACCTTAAGAACTGTTGTCTTCTAGGATCATTTATTCTACCTATTCTGTGGGATATTTTTTACCATAAGAGTCACAATTACATTATCACAGCACCTCACTAAAAACTCCTCATTTTATACAATAGTTCAGAATAAAAAGATAGTTTTTCCAGCTGTGCTGTCCATTTAATTTACATGTACTACTGTCTTTTATAGACACTTCAACTCTCACATTTCACTGGAATTGTAATCACTTTACTAATAGAAAAGCTCCACCTGATTTCCCTCATAGTTTTTATTGATGAAAAGTCTGGCCTCAGACTGTGGTTTCAATCTTTGCTTGCAATGTTTCCCTTTTACTTTGTGATTCTTCATTTCACCAGTGCAGCAAACCCAGAGGGATACCTCAGCTCTTCTCATCCCTGCAAATACTATTATAATGTGGTTTCAGCAGATAGTCTACCATCAGTACACTCAACTATATAATAGTTGAATTAAAGCCTCATGATACCTTTCGACTATCTGTACATCTTCCCACTTTTTTTTTTGCTCCTACTCCCATTGTTTCATGAATTGTAGTATCAACCAAAGTAACTTTGCAGAGCAAATTCTAAAGCTAAAAAAACCTTGATTCATGGTGTGGTGCTCTCATTGACCCCTGCCAAAGATAACCACAAACAGCACATAAGCTGGGGAGACCAGAAATCTTTGTAAATAGATTTCATTCAGTTGGCTTTGATCTCTGCTTTAAATCCACAGACTTCTTCCACTTCTACGTTTTCCCATTAGGACATGCAAAACACCACATAACTATTCACTGTCTGAGAAAGATGACTAAAGTTATGTTTCAAATTTTCTCCATTACAATCTATTTAAGGAAATTACAGCCATTCTTATGCATAAGAAGATTATGTTTAATCTTTTTCTTCGCTGAATGACTACAAGTAGCATTGCTAGGTAAGGATGTGGATGACAATTGACAAAACTGTGTTATACTGCACATCCTTTACCTTTTTTCTAAACAGGGATGATATGAGGTTAATGCAGGCTAATGCTGGGGAAAGTGTCAAAATGTGCAATCCACATGTCTTCAGTTTATCACAGAATGATATAGGATGACAAACACCTCGAAGATCATCAAGTCCAACATTTGATCAACCCTCATCTTATCGACTAGACCACAGCACTAAGTAGCACATCTAGTTATTATGTTCCCTGTTGCATCTATTCATATTGTTTATAACAGTGTCAAGAGGCTTTTCCAGAAGAAGAAAATCTAACAAAAGATTTTCAAAGCAATTCATTCATTTAAATCCACAATAACAAGATTTTCTATGAGTTTTACATCTTTCATTGTGCATTCACACAATGAAATCACTGACAATATCTTAGAAATGTCAAATTTCATCATTTCTTCCATTATATGCAGGCTATTTACATAAAAAATTGTCACTCAGTCAGAATTCCATACTTAAAAATTTTGTAAAGAAGGAAATTAGTGATCCATGTCTGAAGCAACACAGAACAGTTTAATTCCATGTACACATAACAGGGAGAGCTTTTTCAGCCTAAGCGAATTACCATTAAGTTATTTGTAAACAAACCTCAGTGTTGCTTTGTTCCCAAATACCCATGCTGACTGCATGGTCATGCTAATCTGCAGCAAATATTGGCATTAGATACCATTCCACTCATACATATAGTAGCATGTGGTCCTTTCAAATTCTCACAGCAATGCAATGTGTCTTATTTAACATTAAATATTTTGTTTTAAAAAAAACAGCTTATATACAGTAATTAAATTGCCAGTCTGCTTTAATACTCATTAAATGTTATACACACCGAGGACAACATGGTCTTTATGCTACAAATTCATGTCCATTTATTGACACATCTGCAGCCACATAAGAATTCCAAAACCCAGGTTCAGTAAAGCAGTCACAAAGTGAATCATACAAACAGTTCTTGCAACATCCAGTTATTAGACCATCAGCTTCTCTTTGGGTACAGAATCATTAACAGGGTTGAGTACAACCCTCACTACAGCTTTTCAATATTGAAGTGATATGTAACAATGGTTCAGAAATTTAGAAATTCTATACCAGCAGCATAGATTGGAGACAAGACCTAAACAACATAATAAATAAATTTTAATTTTGATTTTCGGCTGTGTTCTGCCTTTATTGTCTCTCACTATTCTGGACAAAGTAGTCTAGACGACCTGCCAGAGGTGCAGATGGTGTATCTGGGAGCTGGGCATAACATCACAGTTTAGGGTGGTACATGCATGGGAACTTGTGCATTCGTGTGTCAATCCCTCCACCTCTGTGCATACAGAAAGAGCATGGACTGATACAGAAGTGAACTTTCCCTTCCTTTTGCATCTTACCTATTCTACGTGCAGTGCTTGTTGTTTGAAGAGTGGGTCTCAGTACTTATGGGAACAGAGACTTGGGCCCCGATCACTTTTATACTAACCCCCAGTATACACTGCTCAGCAGTGCTCTCAAAGGGTTAAGCAGTTCACCCTTGTCAACAGAGGATTGAACACAGTTTTTTGTGTACATTCCAGGTCTTGTCCCATCCTCAAGAGGAACTTCAGACCTAAACACAGTTTTCCAGATGGCAGAAGTATTCCTATATGATGCTCAATTTGTACAGTGTTCAAACTCTTTCACCAGTAACTTTTACTTCTCATGAATGATTTGTTAAGTAAAACCTGACAAATCCTTCACAGAGAACATTCATCATCCAATAATTTATAAAAGCTTGACTCTGTTATTACCACACCAGGGGCCCGGGGGCTTGTTGGCAAGACTGCATTGCATGAACAGCATAAAAAAAGCTAATGGGATCTTCACCAAACTTTTTTTTCTAAAAAAAAAAACCAGAGGCAATCCAATTCTCCAGTCAGTGAATAAGCTACTCATCATTGAAATTAAAGGATTCAAACAAAAGTGTGTTGTGGGTAGGATACATGAGGATATTATACTTAATTATAAACCAGTAATTAAATTGTGTTGACAGTTACCTATTATAGTGTATGCTACAAAGAAATGGCACCATTTTTCACACAGATCTTAACATTACGATCAGTGAAACCAAAAGGATCACAGAAAAGAGATCACAGAAGAGAGTACACTTTTTAATCCCTCATAGACCTAGACCAGGAGAAGAAAAAAAGCAAGAGCAATTTTCCTCTTAACATTGTAATATACCACATTGCCCATTTTTATTTTTAAAGCTGGTTGCTTCACAGAAGGGATCTGCAGACATAAATCTTACAATTTTACAGAGAAGCGTAACACAGTAATGAGTGCATTATCAAAATTCAACTACTCATTCAGGAATAATGGTTGACCTTATGTTCCAAGAATAGCACATACTTAATACCATGGGTATCTTCTTCACTTTGTTTTAATGAGAAGTAGAACCATAGAAAACAGATAGGGTAATACTTGTAATGCTATATGCCATTCAGGTGAACTTCGCCTGGTATAGTATTTCATATAAAAAATGCAAAGGCTTTTTCCTCAGACACATGCATGGATTTTCTTACCTTTGGTTCCATTGAAATGAAGCTGTGGGTACCTCTACTTGAGAGAACTGACCTTTTAATTGTTTTACTATGGTAGAAGTGGTAGTAGTCCTTCAATGTTCCAATCTGTAAGAGCAGAAAAGAAAAAAAAAAGGAGTGGAAGACTTAATTCAATGAAACTCGTTTCCTGTTTTTCATTTTGGAAAGTCTATAAATTATGCAATTTCCTCTGTGCTGAAATGTTACTTGAACCCACTGATCATCTTTCAAAAGAAGGACATATGATATGAAGTGGATGAAGTATCCTTCAGGCAGTAACTGCATAACCAAAGATTATAACTGAGCTGCTTAGCCTGGTTGTAGCTACCTTTTTAATGTTTAATTTATATGCAATACGTTAAGTAATTCTATATCTATATCCAAACTGTCCTCAAACGGCAAGTATAAAAATCATTAAATGGCTATAGGGTTATTAAAAAGCATTCCATCTAGTTTGCTTAAGGAAATGTACTGTAAAACATACTAGTCTTGGTTATTTATATAATTAAATTATAAAAAGGACATTCATGGCATCAGACTATACAACAGGAATAATTTTCCTGTTCTGTCAAGTGAGAGCAAAAAGTAGAAGAAAGGTGGAAACGTTAAGTTCATGGGATAACTCATTCGAGGTACAAAATCAATTCATGCAAAATTGCAAATTTCACAATGGTGTAATAAAAATGCTTCTTACTCATCCCTTCAGTACACAATAGAAATATAAATACTGAAGTGAGATGGCCTTCACAATTTGAGAAAGAAATCTTCCTTTCCAGAGTCATCAATATGTCTGCTTTAATTTTTCATTTTTAACTTGAAACTTCAGTTTCACTCACCTACAAACTAACATTCAGTCTACTTGTCTTTGGGAGATTGCCTCTCCAACTCATTTGGAATTTGACCTACTAGTGCACTGCAAATCTTGTAAGATACTTAATAATTTAGTTTCAAGTTCCTCAATGATGAGCAAAAAAGGGACAATTAAGCATACTGTCATTTCAATTTAAAACTCAAAGTGACCTCATAAACAGGCTTGGTTTCCCAAGTAGAGCTGAATGATATCATCAAAGAGGATGGAGCAACACTTCAAAACTTTCACCTTAAAAAAAAATCCCCCAGATTTATACTCAATTTGCATCTATAATAATACATATGCAGGAAACTTGAGAGCTCAGCAGTAAAGACTTGAAGAGAATTGGAAATTAGTCATTCACAAATTCCAAGAATATTTAGAATAGTAGAAAACAAAAATCTTGAGGAAATATGTAAGTAGACTACAAAGAAAATATTGATATTGATAGAAAACAGCAACAATTTAATTCCTTGAACAGGGAAAACTGGATCTAGGATATTAATGCCAGTCTGTGTGGGTGGTCCATCAGTATCTTCCTTTTGGGAAGAGTAACTTAAGTCTAGTGTAAGAAAAATACCAAAACATTCAGTTAAATCAATTTAGTTTATCATAAATTGATTTTTGTCTAAGACTAATGAAAGTGTATCGGTAGTAGAGTAATTTTCATGCTGCCTTCTCTCTGACAGACAATTCCAGTTGAAGCAGCACATCTCCACAGCCCAGGGGTGCTCAGTTGTAATTAACTGGGTTATATCTGGCTGGTGGCCAGTCAACAGTACTGTTCCACAGGGCTCAGTCCTAGGACCAATTCTGTTCAATATATTTAAGAACAATGTGCATATAGGATTTAAGTATTCCATGAGCATGTTTGCTGATGATACCAAACTGGGAGCTGCTGTTAACCCTCTTGAGAGACCAAAGGCCTTGCAGATGCATCTGGATAGATCAGAGCTATGATTAATGGGATGAAATTTAAGAAGGTGAAATACTGGATTCTGCACTGGGGATTAAGAAAGACCAGGGGTAAATGTAAAATGGGAGTGAAGTGGCTGGAGAGCAGCCCTGCAGAGAGCAACCTGTGAGTGCTGGCTAAAATTAAGGTAAGTGTGACTCAGCCATGTATCTGGGCAGCTGTGCGGCCAAACTGCATCCTGGAATACCTCAAATACAGCATAACCAGCCAGACAAAGGAGGTGGTTATCTCGACATACTCAGCTTTGCTAAGCCCCTTTTAGAGTATTCTGTGCAGGTCTGAACCCCACAATTTCAGAAGGATGTGAAGGTCCTTGAATGCATTCAGAGGAGGCCAGCGAAGCTGAGGAATAGCCTGGAAGGCATGGCTTGTGAAGTGGGGCTGAGAACTTTGGCTTGGAGAATAGTAGGCTGAGGGTTAAACTCATTGCTCTATACAGCTTCCTGAGGAGCTGCTGATCCCTTCCAACTAGGATTCAGGGATGCGTCAAAATGGTTCAGAATGGGATCAAAGGAGGTTTCACACTGAACTTTAGGATGTGTTTCTTTACCAAGAGAATATTCAAACAGACTTCCTGGGGAGATTGTGAATGCCCCAAGCTTGTCAGTATTTGTGAGGCATTTGGACAATGCCCTTAACAATGCGCTGTAACTGTTGGCCAGCCCTGAATTTGTCAACTAGATGACCACTGTAGGTCCCTTCCAATTCTGTTCTATCTTATCCTATTCTATTCTATTCTCTTCCGCTCTGTGCCACTCCATTACTTTCGACTACAGCAAATAAAGTTTATTCTGATTTTAAGAGCCTGTAGCAAAGTCCAGTAGCATCAGGTTAATGTTGTACTCTTTTAACATTACTATTATTTATAACAGTTACTGAAATTTGGTACTAGGCTTAGAGCAAGTGATGGCATGCTTTCCTGAGACAGAGGGATGTAATCAATTACTTTCTGGATGTTTCCAGGACTCATCAGTAGCCTCAAATAAGACTGAAGTGCTAGCTGCTGGGAAGTGATGTTAGCCTTGTTCAGTAAGTCTTCAGAGACCTGCAAAGTGCATAGTCACCCCACCAGTAACCTATAAAGGTAACTGAACTTTTATAGACCTTGCTGCCTTCAGAGTGCATTAGAAACCCTCTACTTTGTCTGTGTAGTTTGTTTGTGTGCTACAAAAGCACACACATTACTGGAAAGACTCAGCTCAGATGGGTAACTGGATTTTACAGCTTCACAGAACTGTTTAAACAGAAAGGCCATATTACAGAGAAAATAAGCATCCATCCATGTTTTGTGCTACAAAGGTCTCAATATCACCAAGTCCTCAGTGTTTTGTCTTGCACTAGTTTAAGATGTTGATTTATTTAGTAATTTACTAAAGATTAGCTCTAGCTGACCACTCTGAGGGCATCCAAACCAGCAAATTTAGGAGATTACCTAATTGCACTCCTGGAGGTTCTACAGTTTAGCAGAACTAGCCATCCATGGAAGATACTGGAAGCATCTGCATCCTTCCAGCCCAAGGGAGACAGCACATTTGTAATCCTTGTCAGATCTACCCCGTCTGAGAACTTGGGCTTAGGAGACAGTCTTAAGCCCTTGGAACTATGTATGGTAATTGCAGTGCAATGTCTTCCAAACACCATTAATTTTCAGATAATGATACTGATTATTTAGAATTGTGAGATCTACAGCTTTAGTTCATAACTGACAAGGAATTAAAATGAGCCCAAATCTTTTAAGTGCAATTAAATTCATATTCACTAAATGCCAGTGCTTTTCACAGCAAAGTAACACCAGCATTACTAAAAGCATTTTTGCCTTCTCTTACCTTAATGGGAATTGACTTAGACCTTCCAGTTCCTTGGACCACTAGGAAGAATTAAACCATTTAACTATAGCACAATAAAACTTGTCGTGTATGTTCTTGTTAAACATACTTGTTTATACTTGTTTTTTATACTTCTAACTCCCAGGTCCTAGAGGCACTCTCAGAGAAAAGCAATGCAAAGACAGAAACATCAGAGCTAACTACTCTACTACTGCTAGGGACTGCTGACAGTTTCACTCATATATCCTTGGGAAATCTTTGTAATTTCTCCTTTTTTTTTTTACATGGAGGGCATGATTTATTTAAAAAGAAATAGGAAAATACTGCCTGGCCAAAGGAAAAAGAACGGACAGTGGCTGTAGGGAAGACCTAATCCCTTCAGTAGTAGTACTTGTAAATAACCATTTTCAATAGACCTATACATGCATTTCAGTTGTACTATACTATATTTATTCAAGAACTAAATAATTCCCAGGAATTATTTCAGTTCCCAGGAACTAACAATCCTGCAATGTCACAGCGCTGTCCCTGAAAACTAAAGCACCCACATATTTAAATTAAATTTATATTTATCAAGTTTTTTTTGCTATTTAAAGTTGTGAAAATGTGTTGATTTTACAGGTAACATGAAACAAGAACCAAACTTTCTAAGCCTGCTCTTGAAAAATATTTCTTCCATATGTTGTTTTATAGTCTAGGGAAACAGTAAGATAATTTAGGACATAATTACTGAATGCATTAATCTACATGGGCATTGTGTCCCCATGAACTCTGTAAGGAAATACAAATGCTAAAGATTACTGTTAAACATATTTTAAATACATTTATATGGTCACCAAACTGACCTATCTGACTAAGCTCTTTCATTTCATTCTGAAATGAAACTGACTGAAACTCCAATATATAGCTGAACAAGAGTCATTCAAGCTACTGGGCAGAAACCTAAGAGATGCTTCTTAGCTTGTAAACAATTATTCTTTTTTAAGAGGCAAATCTTCTAAACATCTAGGTGGAAAGTGCTCTTCTCCCAGAGGGCTGAATAGAAAGCAATATGCTACTGATTTGGTGAATTGGAGGATATATTGTATGGGTCCCTGTTTCTCCCAGGCTTTAGTGAATTTGCTCCTAAATGGATTTAGAAAAGAAGACAGATCAGGTACAGATATGATTCTGAACTCAGTAAGACAACAGAAGAGCCAAAGAAGCACAAATTTGCTATCCCTGTGCAGAGCTGGAATATAAATCATCATAAATAGGCATAGGATCATATTTCACATGGAGGTGAAGGTATGACCCTTCCCATTTTTCAGAACTGCAAAAAAATTCCGAAGTTTTAAAGTCCTTGACAGAAGAAAATATCAAAAACAGAGATATGAAGAAACTTAATAAAGTTTACTATTATCATCTTATTTTAACAAAATCATTTCAACTCTAT